CCGCACCTGCCAGGGGGGTGGGCGGGGCCCTGCGCCGCTGGTACAGGTAACAGCAGGAGCACATGAAGCAGCACACGATGGTGGTGACGATGGCGATGAAAAGCACCACGGCCGAGGCGATGCCCGCGATGGTCTTGGGGCTGCGGGAGGGACCCCCCGGTCGTGGGCACGGCTGCCTGGGGGGCACCCCGGGCACCCCCCGGCCCAAACAGTGCCCACTGGTGCTGCCCAGGACACTGCCAGTGACTGGTGACAGTGACCAGTGACAGTGACAGTGACCAGTGACACTGCCCGGGGACACTGCCAGTGACTGGTGACAGTGACAGTGACAGTGACCAGGGATACTGCCAGTAACTGATGACCAGTGACACTGCCAGTGACCAGTGACAGTGCCGGTGACCAGTGACCAGTGACACTGCCCGGGGACACTGCCAGTGACTGGTGACAGTGACCAGTGACAGTGACCAGTGACACTGCCAGGGCCCAGTACCAGTGTCCAGCACCCCGTTCCCATGCCCAGTGTCCAGCACTCAGTACCAGTCCTCAGCAGCCAGTGTCCAGTGCCCAGGGCCCAGCATCCAGTACCAGTGACCAGTACTAGTGCCCAGCAGCCAGTACAGGCGACCAGTAGCCAGTATAAGTGTCCAGTACCAGTACCAGTACCAGCCAGTATAAGTGTCCAGTACCAGTGCCCACTGCCCAGTGCCCAGCACACGGTACCAGTGACCAGTGCCCAGCACCCAGTGCCCCACACCCAGTGCCCCTGCCCAGTATCAATGCCCAACACCAGTGCACAGCACCCAGTGCTGGACATCCAGTGCCACTGCCAGTGCCCAGCACTAACACCCAGCACCCAGTCCCAGTGCCCAGCACCCCATGCCAGACCCCAGCACCCCGGACCACTTCCCAGGACCGATGCCCAGCCCCAGCCCCCAGCCCCAGCCCCAGCGCCCCCGGGGGTGCCCCGCGGCCCGGCAGTGTCACCTGAAGGCGAGGCAGTGGCGCTGCTGGCGCTCGGTGAGCAGGCGCAGGGGGTCCCTGCAGCAGTAGCGCTGGTGGCAGGTCCCGCAGCAGAAGGTGAAGAACTCGCAGTCGAAGCCCGGGTGCCACGAGCCGTTCCTGTCCACGTACCACAGGCAGTCCTCGCCCCCGGCCACTGCGGAGGGTCACCTGTTACCGGAGCCACCCGGCCACCCCACCCCGGGGCAGCGGCAGCGCCACTGTCCCCACCCTGCCTCACGTGGCACAACCTGGACCCCGCCGTGTCCCGGACCGCTGCTCCCCCTGCACACCGCGCCGTCCTGCCCTGTGCCCACCCCCGACCCCTGCTCCATCCTGCCCCAGGGACCCCAAACCCTGCTCCATCCTGCCCCAGGGACCCCAAACCCTGCTCCATCCTGCCC